CGTGAGGACATCTCAGCAGATGCATGCAGAGGCTGGATTAGGCACTCAAGAAGATTCTTTCCACGGTGCATAGCAAGACAAAATATATGTTGTGATGTGGATGAGAATCTGTGGCCCAACAGACAGGACTGACATGACGCATAGGAAAACTGCCACGTAATCTCACCTTTACCCTCTGTTGTACATGTATAGTTCTTCCCACTTTGTCTTTTTTACAGTATGTTTCCATTGCTAGGTAAATAGACTATGTATAGTTTCCTTTGTTGCCTGTATGTAAGTACCGCTATTGACAGTACAGTAGAAATGTGAGTACAGTCTGATCTTTTGTTTCGATTCTTCCATATACTGTAACGTGGGGCGATGGTGATTGGTTAGATGAGGTTAGATGGAATCATTTAGATAATTATCTATTCTTACCATGTAAATTACTGTAACACCTGGTTGATGCACAATGGTTCGCAAGAACCACTTCTTTTTTTTTTACTGGAGGGACACTGTAAATTATGACACACACCAGTACGGTAATTTAATGGTTTCTAGTCATCAAAACCTGAGTTGAGTATAGTTTACAGTAAATAACAAAAACTGAGTATGATGTTCTACTGACAACATGACTAATAATTTTGCCTGTCACGTTCACATTGTTGAGGAAATGACATGGGATTCTGCTGCCTCTGACACAATGATTGATGAAAAAACACACTTTTGCACGATAGACAAAGCATTTTGAGCAGGTGACGTGCTTTTTCCGGTTATCCACTATGTTGTGCAGTTTGTACGTGTTGTTTTGAGAAATGCACTTGGAGATCTGCAGACTTCAATTCTGTTGTGAGAAATGAATGAAAGCGATAGAGAAAAACTGTAATTAGGCATAAAGAGTCTAATGCATTGTGGAAAGTGTAGGGTCCAGTGTTTTAGTGCTTAAGCTATACTAGAAACTAAAAGTGAGGCTATCAGCCTCTGCTGGCTCAGTTTTGACCGTTCTCCCCAAAGTCAGAAATCATTACCTTGCAGCTGCCTCATGTTGTTTTCCCAGATTATACTGTATATGATACATTTGATAAATATAGTTTAAGTATGACCTTTCAACATTCCAAAAAGTCCCAACTTCAGGAGACAGCCATGCATGATAAAGTCATTTATGGCCGTGGATCGAGCCTAGTCGCCTGTGTGATGTCATACAACAGTTTGTTTAGTTAGCAGGGTGGCAGGCAAAACACTGGGTATTAATTTTATCTTATTTATCCATAAACAAAATGTTAATTTAAATGAGAGATGAATCAGTTAGCATTGCTGCTTAGGAAGCTTCATCATGTATATTAAATGGTGCTCATACTGTGCAACCTGTAAGTTTATTACCATGCAGTGTCTGAAGGAATTCATTTGACAAGTCATCCAGTTCCTCCACACTTCTCAGCAGGTCGAATGCCGTGGCCTCTCCCAGCTGCCGTTTGCTCTTCCACTTCACCAGCATCTTCAACTTCTGCATCGTTGGATCTTTTTCTCCCGCCTGGATTTCATCCAGCTCCCTGGTGATCAAGTCGAGATGGATGGCCAGCGGCTTCCACTCGTTCCCCAGCTTCTTGGCCACCTGCAGTAGCTGCTTCTCTGACATGTCCTGGCCCCGAGCTACCTTTTGTACTCCATCTGGAAAAAGACGCACAGAATTATTTTAAACGGGTGCATCTGGAAATAGTCCGGGTATGGATGGGATTTGTATTGACTAGACTAGGGCAAAAATCAGTAGCTAGTCACTGAAGTCACCTGACTCGTCCTGCCATCGAGGTCTTTTACAGGTCGTTTCTTCCTCTGAAGGGCTGCTGCTCCTCTGTCGGCCTATGAGAGACATGCGGTGTATGATGTGAGTCAACCTGGAGCAGCTAAAAACAATTAGATGCTGATTAAAAACATGAAAAACAAGACAGTTACTGTGGGTTCTTTTCCTTGGCTTCTGTACTGTGTTATCCACACAGTCACCTATGAGAACAGCAAAAGATGGACATCACCACTTTGTAGTAGAAACCACATTACACACAAGCACAGAACCTCTAAAAGACCAAAACGGACATCCAAACGTGTCCGGGGTCACACTAAATGCACTGGTACCTTCTCTGATGGTGGCGGACCATACAGTCTCCTCAGTGTTAATCTCTATAAGAGACAATTGAAACGGAGGAGGCTGCTCAAAAAAAGCTTCAAAGTAGCCTTTCATCTTAGTCACTGCAAGGGTGAATTTCAGCTCCTGCACAGAAACGTGTCCAAATGATGGAAACGTGCATTAACAAATGCAATGTTGACAGTCATAGCACAATGTATATATTTTTGTTTTCAATACGTTAAGTTGCGATCTAAATGATTTAATAGGAGTAGCCACATCTGTACACATAAAACACAAACCTGAGGTTTGATGTCTCCCTCTGGGTCACTCAGGAGACGATACGTCCCCTCGTCCAGTTTACACGTGGGAGGCTTCTCTATCCGACTGTAACGATTCTTGTAGCCTCGCACCTGTTTCCCAATATCCTAATGTACATAAGGACAAGCAGAGAGACAAGACAAAGCAGAAGATGAGTCAGTTCTTTGCAGAGGATGAACAGGCTTAATAGTGATTAACATTCAGTAAAACACATTTTCCAGAGTGGAAAACATGAAATGATTTTGATTTGATTTGATTTATTCTTTCAAGCATGTAAAAGCACTTGATATGACAACACACATAATTTTACACATAATCCAATATCAATGTGCTTATACCTAGTACATGCTTGAATGGAGTAGGAAGAAGTCAGACTTATCCAGTCCTACCCCATGACATCATCTTACCATCATTGGTTTGCAAGCAGTAAATGATTCACTTCTACACACACACGTATTATACTAAAAAAAGATTATAACAGTGTTAACATTCTTACATCACACAAGTAATATACTAAAGAGTTATTAAAAAATGTACACCACATGCACAATTGTCCATATAATTAATCATTGAGCCTGTTCTTGCATATATCTTGATTGACACATACCTTTATATTTATGTTTAAACTCGTCAATTCTATTACTATTTTTTTATGTCTACGCTTAAATTATTCCATAGTTTTACCCCACTTATAGAAATACAAAATCTTTTTTTGGTTGTACGTATAACATGAATTTTTAAATTTAAGTGACCCCTTAAATTGTATCCCCCTTCCCTTTCATTAAATAGTTTTTGAATTCCACCAGGTAATAAATTGTACTGTACTTCACAAGAATTCACATGTAGCATAGTTACATGTACAGTAATACACACACCAGTGGCATCAGAACCAATATATGCCACTGATGTTTTCTCTCAACCATTCAGCTCTTCTTAGACATACATTTACTGTCTCATTGCACTAAATGACTACAAACAGAGCAGGTTTGATAAGGTCATTAATACCAGTGAGATCAGAATCAGAATCAGCTTTATTGGCCAGGTCTGTTGGACACGAGGAATTTGACTCGGGTACAGTGGCTCTCAGTGTGCATGTACATATCCCCATGTAAGGCAACAGCAAACAATATACCAAGATAAGACTGTGTAGCGTAACAAAATAAAATGTCAGGGTTCTTCCTGAAGTCCACTGTCATCTCCACTGTTTTGAGCGTGTTCAGCTCCAGGTTGTTGCGGCTACACCACAAGACCAGCTGCTCAACCTCCCGTCTGTAGGCTGACTCATCATCGTCTCGGATGAGACCAATGACCGTTGTATCATCAGCAAACTTTAGGAGCTTGACAGAGGGGTCCTTCGAGATGCAGTCGTTGGTGTAGAGTGAAAACAGCAAAGAGCACACATCCCTGGGGGGCACCTGTGCTTATTGTCCGGGTGCTGGATGCGGTTTTCCCCAGGCGCACTTGCTGCTTCCTATCTGTCAGAAAGCTGGTGATCCTGAAACTTCTACTTTTCAAAAACATAATGTAGCGTATCAGAGCAGCTTTATATTGTCATTTCTGTCTTTGTTTCGGTGTATTACACAAACCTGGAAATATGCAGCCTACTCTATGAGGTCTGACCACATCAAATGAACAAGAAGTGAAAGTTCAGTTTTGGCTCTAATTCTGTTATGATTCTTCTCAAGTAATTACATAGGTAAGGCATTTTGCTGGACTTTTATCCAGTAGGCAGTTGGTATGATTGAAAGTAATGGTTGGAATATTTAGCTAGACGTAGGTGACGGTCTCATGAATGGAATATTTGTGTGCTTTGCATGTAAGAAAGGTATTTTTTGTTGTGTTTTTTGTTATTTTGCTTGTGCGTCAAGGGAAAAATTCCTCAATTAAAACACAAAATGTGCTCATCTGAAATGAAACATCATTACAAGGTTATTATAACTTTGACAAACAAAACTTGGCTCATGTATAGTATAGTATAGTATAGTATAAGCCAGTAATGTAACGGCAGTATTCCATCACCATACAGGAACAGATACCTGGAATATAACTGGATCCTCCATAGACAGATGTGAAAGAAAAAAAGGTTTTTTTTTTGTTTGTTTTCAGTAATCACATGTAATTTTGCCAGAACATTTACAGATTAAAGTACCTGCTTGAAAGAAGCTTTCACTAACCAGGTGCTAAAAGATGAAAAAGGATCCGGCATTTACAGAGGTTTTGAGAAATTTTACCACATTTCAAGTAAAGGGTAGGAAAACTGTTGATCATTAATTTGTGGAGGCTACTTGAAATGGCATTTTTAAAAGAGATCAGTCCGTTTCTTCAATGCCTGACAATGCATACAGTATTCACGAGTGCTTACCTTGATGTCTGACGAGCTGTTGGTAGCCAGGTAGACGTGGAAGCTGTAGCTGTTTTTGTCACAGCCCAGCTGCTTGTAGACCAGCACCACTCCATGGTGCTCTATAGACTGGCTTGTTTGGATGATGGGACCCACGGGTGACAGGGAAGTCACATTCCACTTAACATGGCTGCCTGAGTGGTCCACTGTTGGCTCGATACAGGGCCGGTTGTCCTTTATGTGTAGGACACTGAATGTCATTTCATTATCTGGGACTGTGCAAAAATAATAGAAGGTTTGATGTTTTAGCAAGAACAGCTTTATACTATAGATTCGTTTTTTTAATGTGTGAAATTCTTTAGTAGGGGTTCAAAGAACATAACTGCTTTCATTAGAATGAACTATTTTGCATGTCCTCAGGCCCTGAGTCTTATCTTAATTAATCCAGAATTCAAGATTTATTTTTACAGCAAAATCAATTTGTAAAGCAAGTACACATGCTATATTTTTATTTTAAATGGTGGAAAAATCATTTTGGAATCAGACTGCAAATTAAATTCATGGCAGCCTGAAGGTGGCATCTTTGTTGGATATACCTCATGGCATTAACATTGCCTTGTGCCACGGAGTCATCACAAGAGGCTAAGATCTTAATTAACAATCATAAGTTGAACACAAAAGACACGTAGCCCTTAGACATGTTCCCTACTGTTCTCACCAGCTAGGCAGATGGAGTGAGGAAACTGGATGGACTTGAGGACAGATGCATCCTTGTTGACCGTGTCTACATTAAAGATGGGTCCCGCAAACTTCCAGGAGTCCGGGAGCAACGTGCCGAACTTGGACCAGGACAAGACAGAGTACTGCAGGAGAACCCGCTCCGACGCTTCAAACACCAGGCCAGTGAAAGAACACTCATATGTGCCCTCTCCTTCCAACTGCACCCTAAAACACACCAACACATAAAACAGTCAGTGACACTATACACAGTCAGTATGAACATACTGCAGAGACACAATGTGACACTCACTGTAATCGTCCCTTGGAGATCTTCCTGGGCATAACAAGCTCATTCCCGTGGCTCTGTCAAATCCACCAACACAGCTTGTTTATTTATTTATAACACCACAGGCAAAAAGACATGAGAAACTAACAAAGCTACAACAATAAAGCCCATTCCTGTCAATATCAGAGGAATGTCTAATACAACTTTACCAGTATAATGAGAGACATTTAAAGACACCACAGCTCACCTGCTGGATGGCTTTGCATTTTTCACAGCATAATTTGAAGGGCCTTTCACCTGTCAGAAGACACGTCAACACATCTTATGTTACGTGCTTGACAGTACTCTGTCCAGTATGCTGCTTGTGCTGTAACACCAGCAATGATCTACTTACCTTTACCATTTGAAACCTCTGCTTCAGTTCCAGGAACTGACTCTAAAAGGAAAATTAATTCAAGTCCAAAATTATCATACGAACATCATGCAGTAAGTTAGAGGCTGAAATCCTGTGTTAAGCCTGTGGCAGATGCCCTAGAGAAACTTTTTACATTGTGAGGCCAGTTCTTTGGTTGTGAGTGAGGGTGGGGCAGACAAAGTTACATGTTGAACTGAATTATGTGTTACAAAAAGCCAACAGAGCTCGACATTGGAGCCGTAATTATGTAGTATGCCTGCCATTATGATGCAGCTGTGGCTATGGTCCAGCAAGTTGCCACTAAAGATGTGGCAATTATGACAACAAGCTGATAAAACAAGCTGATAAAACAATCTGGATGTACACACCAAACCAGACAGTTTCCAAAGCAGACTATTTGCTTAGTCTGCAAAGGTGGGTACTGATATTTGCAGACACAATTTTGCTTAACAAAATGTCTCACCATTTTTGCACTCCTCTCCATCAGCTTCTTCAGTATCTGCAAAGAACATGACAGACAGAAGCTTAGTGAAACTGTTATATTATTAAATCCTTGAGCTACAGAGAACTTTGAGGATTGATTATAGGATATTAGTTCTTACCTTCCTCTCCTCTATCCCTCTCAGCAGAGCCTGCTAGTCAAAGTCAAAATTAAAAAAAAAAGGAGAATGAGGGACAAAGACTTCAAAGAAACAGTACAACATTTTGGGAAATGTGCTTATTCACCTTATTGGCAAGACTGAAAAGAAAAATACCACTTTTGTTTCTGTATAGTGTATAGCTACAGTACCTCCAGCAGTCAGTTAGCTTAACTTAGCATGCAGACTGGAAAAGGAAACAGCTAGCCTAGCTAACTTATTAACACAATATACTGTAGCTTGTTCCTGAAGTCACCACCTGCTGCCTGGCCACCTCTGGTTGATGGGAAGTCAATGCTCTTGTGCCAAACAATAAAACTGTAAAAACACCCCATGTCGATGTTAGACTGATTTAACAACCTGTAATAAATGAGCTTGAGAGATGCTGGTAGACAGATTTATTTTTCCCCCAGGACACAGCCAGGCTAGCTGGTTCCCCATTTCTAGTCTTTATGCTAAGCTAATGCTAACTGTCTCCTGGCTATAGCTTCATATTTACCATACAGACATACACTATATTGCCAAAAGTATTTGCTAGCCTGCCTTCACATGCAAATGAACTAATTCATCCCAAAGGTGTTCTGTCAGGCTGAGGTCAGGACTCTGTGCAGGACAGTCAACTTCTTCCACACCAAACTCACTCATCCATGTCTTTATGGACCTTGCTTTGTGCACTGGTGTGCAGTCATGTTGGAACAGGAAGGGGCCATCCCCAAACTGTTCCCACAAAGTTGGGAGCATGAAATTGTCCAAAATGTCTTGGTATGCTGAGGCATTAAGAGTTCCTTTCACTGCAGGAGCCAAGCACTGTTCTTGAGCTAATCTGAAGGCCACATGAAGTTTGGAGGTCTGTAGCTATTGACTCTGCAGAAAGTTGGCAACCTCTGTGCACCATGCGTCTCAGTATCTGCTGACCCTGCTCTGTGATTTTACATGGCCTACCACTTCGTGGCTGAGTTGCTGCCATTCCCAATCACTTCCACTTTGTTATAATACCACTAACAGTTGACTGTGGAATATTTAGTAGCGAGGGAATTTCACGACTGGACTTATTGCACAGGTGGCATCCTATTATGGTACCACGGTGGAGTTCGCTGAGCTCCTGAGAGCGACCCATTCATTCACAAATGTTTGTAGAAGCGGTCTGCATGCCTAGGTGCTTGATTATATACACCTGTAACCATGGAAGTGGTTGGAACACCTGAATGCAATGATTCGGATGGGTGAGCATTTACTTTTGGCAATATAGTGTAAGTGGCATCAATCTCGTCATCTAACTCTTGGGAAAAAATGAAATAAGTGTATTTTGACAAACTGACCATTTCCATTTAAGATATTAGCCACAACAGAGCAGTTCAAAGTGCATTTCTCACCAGAATCCCCATCCTCCTCTTCATCCTCTGAGCTCTCTTCAGTGGATGTTTCTGTGTTTTCTGTTTGATAAACCAGTATGCCAGAGACATTTGAGAAAACTGAGAAGTTTACACTGAATTTCCAGTGAAGGATAAGTAAAAGGGATTCATGCCACAAAAATTAAATGTGACAAAAAAGACTTTAAACAAGGCAATGAAATGTCATAACAAATGAGGGGGATTTTTTGCATGTGACCTGGTCTGAGTAATGTGGAAAGAACAAATGAGTTCAAATGTTTTGGTGCCATATTTGTTCTTACCTGAACCACTGCTGTCACTTCCTGCCAAATTATCTGTAAGAAATTATTAGTCGTTAATGTGTTTGTTTTGTAATATCTGATGTAAGAATGTGTGACAACACATCATTGTACATTTCAGCTTACTTTATAGTGACTGTACATCATTATTAACATCTGCTGGTAATCATAGCATCATCATCATTACGGGAACTTCACTGCTTTTAAAGATCTGATAACATCATCAACTCATTATTGTGGTTAATTGGGAAACGTACCACACATATCAAATAACGTGTAATAATGTTAAAATCTATCAGTTATTTCCTGTAAATGTAAACATTAATGTATAGGAGGACAGGCATATGTGGTGAAAATATTCAGACTCCTGCTTCTTTACTTTCTCATGCACTAAAAGTTATTTAAAGCATTTAAAGCTATTTTATTAATTTCCTGTTCATTTGAATGCCCCCTTTGTCCTTTCTCTCTCTCTAACGTGTGTTAGCTTCCTTCCTACACGTGTGAATGATGTGCTTGGACTTTGCTTCTCGTGTTTTTGTGCGGTCTGTCCTTCTACCAGATCTTTGTCTGGAGGGGAGGTCACGTGGTTCGGGTCTGTGGGAGGCACCTGGAAGTTGGCTCATCTTTCATATATATGTTCATATAATGTTCATTATATATGTTACAATATACAATTTTTGTCATTTTGATTTATTCTTTACACGTGACATCTATTGCACATCTGTCCACCCTGGGATAGGAATCCCTCCTCTGTTGCTCTTCCTTTTTTTCCTGTTAATACATTTTTGGGGGGAGTTTTCCCTTATCTGATTCAAGAGGGCAAAGGATGTCATATGCTGCACAGATTGTAAATCCCTTGAGGCAAATTTGTAATAAAGGGCTATAAGAGTCAAACTTTTATGTAAGAATTCCACTGTCCATTATCCCACTAGTACACTGTCAAAACTGTCCAAACAATTTTCTATAAACACACCGTGTTCATGTTGTTGAGATCAGATATCCACCATTTTACGAACTGCTATGCCTGATCTCATAGAGAGATAGATAGATTCTATATTTTTAGAGCTGAAAGCTGATTATATCTTGTTTTGACATCAGTCCTTTGTTGATGCGGTTAAAGTCGAAATCCCACTGTTTAGCTTTACATGGGTTTGAATGCAGTGCCACTTTTACCTGTGTTCTAAGAACTCAGCTTGTTTCATCCATGATTACTCAGCCAGGTGCAGGCTAATTACCTCAAGAGGTTTCACCTGTGTGTGTGATGTTTAAAGAAGCAGTTGCACTGGCAGACTGTGGCACTAATGACACTAATGAGGGCTGAACACACTGTCTTCCTACAGGATAAAGTGACTTCCTGCCATTGAGTGTGATCCTAATTTATGATTATTTAATTCTGGGCTATACAAATAAAAACCGACTTGACCTAGAGCAGAGAAACCCTCAGGTGTAGCCACGATGTCCTGTTGCTAGGCCTGTCGCCATACTTTACAGTCACGCTGTTTAAAACGTTCCTTGCATAAATAATCCATGGACCTATATAAAATGACATGAGAAAAAGAAGTTGAGAGTTTTACCTTTTGTCACTGATCTCTACTTTTAGTTTTTTCTACAGTATGTCTGTGTGCTGTTTTTTTTAAAGTCTTCATCCATCATTAGTCATCGAAAAACCCTCAGCATGTCTGCCTTACAACACCAGCTTTTACATATCCATCATTCCTTAGCAGCTGAACTGTGACACCTTGTGGAGAAGCCAGTGATCAGTGCCATAGATTAACATTCTGGCATATTTATACAAATGGATCCAGAGGAACTGCTGTTGCTCCTCTCTTCCCAGCAGCAGTGAATGAGCATGGGCCAGGCCATCTGGCTGAGTGCCTGGCTGGCTAATGGATGGAGCCCATCCTCTCTGGCTCACAGAGTTTTATCTTAAACTAACTACCAGATGCTGCTATGACTGCTCCACTCACAGCACCTCCCTCATCAGTCTGCCTGCTTCACCTCTCTCTGCACTCACTCTCCCCCATTTCTCTCTCCTTGTATCTCATATGCCTCCTAAGGCCAATGCTCTGCTTCTGTGCTGCTGCTACACCCCACAGCTGAGTAGACAAGCCTCCCTCGTCACTCTGGCATAGCTGCTTCCTGTCAGAAGACTGACAAACAACACCCACAATGACACACACATGCAGCAAACGCACTTGTTTAGGTTTGGGTGGTTTCATGGATGGTGCCTGCCATCTGCTGGTCTAAAATAAAAGCAAACCCAAGGGCATAAAAAAAGGCTGATGTGTGGTGTACAGTAAGGCTCCTTAACCTTTTTTGGCTTGTGACTCCTTTTACATACACTTTTCCCTTTGGTTTTCTCTTAAGTAGCTTAAGGTTGTTAAAATCATCAAACTCCCAACTGTCTGACTATTTGTATATCCTGTATAGGCTTCCTTCTGCTCATAATAAGCTTGCAATATGTCAAAGATATAACAGCATAACAGCAAAGATGTCAAAACTAGAGGGGCATTAAATGGGAACAGCAGAGTTGAACCAAAGCTATTGAACCACTATTGGTCAATCATGTTTCTCAGTAAAAGGCTCGCAACTTCTGTATGGAACACTACCAACAGATTTAAAATCACAATCAGAATTGAACAACAACAAATTAGCTTTTAGCTAAACACCTTGTATGCACTGCATCAGTTTACTGAGTGCAACAATGTTTAGGTGCATGTGTCTGTAAAAACAAAAGAAAAAATAAAATAACTTAAGCTACAGCATGCACTGCTTCCAAAGTTGAAAACGCCAAGAGATCTTATGACATTCTTGACACTCTTTTGTTAGAGTTGCTGACTCTACCTTTAAAGGCAAATGATACGGAAATCAGGGAGGGCAGGCATTTAAATAGAGGAAGATGAGAAGGGTTACAAAAGTAAAAAAAGCAAAAGTAGTGACAAACAATAGATGGGAATACACATTTGTTAAATATTAACTGATAGAAAAGCAGGGACACAACACTATCGCTGTATGAAAAAAACAACCCAGACATATGTAACCCTTCATGTGCGCTACAAGAAAGTAAAAGCAAAAGCCTGCGGAGTGGGAGGGAATGAAAATAGGTCGATGTTTACCTTTGTTTTCAGGCGTAGGGATGTCTCCGTCTCTGTAGAGCAGAGAAGATAATGTTCAGACAGCTATAAATTACATTAAAGAGTCATGTAAAGTAAGGGATGTGAGCAGCGTGTGATGTTATGGAAGAATTTAGAGGTTGAACACCACTGTGCAGCTGCAGGCCCTCATAATACATCACTTCTGCTTTCAAATGAAGACAATGAGAAAAACAGGAAATGTGCACAAGCTGCTTGCAGCTCACTTTCTCACATTTGTGACACCAACCCATCCTGTTAAATGATGGATTCACCTTCCCACCCAAACTCACACACTGACCCACTTTCTGACAAGAGTAGATATTAAAATAAACCAGCCATGGAAAGATACTGACTAGGTCTGTTTACCATTAAACAACACTGGGCGAAATAATGTGGACATGGTTCATAACTCAGCATCAGGCACGACAATGAGACCGGATGATTAGTCAACATAACCATCTATCTACTTTTCTGCGGTGTCATACTGTGATGATAGGATCCTAGAATCTTAGGAAAATTCTGGTGTCTAAATTCAAAGCACGCCATTATTACAAACGAACACAATGAGAAACTGAAAGATTTGTTGTACACACATGGTACAAAAGGTTTTGTGGAACAGAAATCGTGACAGGGGAGCGTGCTGCATTCTGCTGAACATCAGTGTCATTATTTGTCATATGATTTTGCAAACACCTGCCACGGGATATCTGTGACATCAGTTTGGATCACATCCATGTATCTATAAGCAGAGGACTGGAGCAACCTGTCTGAGCACCAACATGCGCAAACACGCCTGGGATCCGTCAGGAAGGAAGAAGAGACAGAGAGCCAAGCCCACAAGAAGAATGCGTTCACAACCAGCATCTGCGAAAATAGGTCAAATTTCATCCTGCATCTCTTCCTGTTTCTCTCCCTTCGTTGTAAAAATGCGTAAATCGGTGATTAAAAATAAAATGTGGCATCTGTTAATGATCACTGATGATGAATCACTGTGACTTTCTTTCTTTTAGACATGGCTTTAAAATGCGTCTTGGACGATTGGATCACAAGTGGACAACCAGAACGCATCACTGTTTACACCTGTCAGTATCCATGTGTCCAGCTGACCACCTGTGATCAGACGTTGCTGCTGCTGTGACACTTCCGCTTAATTATCAAATGGTCACGGGTACAATTATTACTTCAGCAGTCTCCCTAACCAAAGAAAAAGCAAGCGTCACAGTTGTACATGGATGTATTATGAAAGTTTTCGCAATACACTGATGGATTTGTATCGGATGTTTCTCTCTATTTTAATTTGGTTTAGCGCTGGCGAACTCTCGCCAAAGCAGCCGCCACGTCCTGCACTGATGACGCATATTGTTCTAACGGTCCTGTCGAAGACGCATCAGGACACATTACAGTTTACACTACAAACGATGTGTGGTCAAATGTGCCCCACTGTGGTTTCATCACAATCCGTGTCGGTGGTCGTTCCCACTTGTATTTAACGCTGTCCACCTCCAGCCCCTCTCTCCACTTGTGATCCGCAGGACGCATTAAGACGCATTTTAACACCAAGTGTAAATGGGGTCACTGTTCTCCGAATAAAGTCTCATTGCTCAAATATTTCCCTGCACGAGTTCTCACACTGTATCCCTTGTTTCCTCCTATGGACATACGGTAATAGAATCTTGTGAGGCTCTTGTCTCAGGCCACAAGTTTACTTGCTTTCTACAGCTTCCCATAAACGCAATGCATGCAATGTGTGTGTAGATAAAGAGCTGACAGTTGGTTTACAGCTACCACACAGGCAAACAGTTTGATACATCCATCCTCATTAACATTAGAGCACCTGACTAGTTTCAAATCCTCTTTGATTTGATAAGCAAATTATGTCCTGGTAATGTTCATGCTACTCAAAGTTTTCTTTATATGTCCCTCATGGACATTGAGCCCTATCTTCACTGAGCGTTTTCATGGGTTGCACTATAGTGTTTATAAAAACCGGTGTTGCATTGAATTCAGGGACTTTTCCAGCCCTTGTCACAGGGTTGGTGTGTCCCAGGCAACAATACGGTAGCATTTACAGAGGACAATGAGTCACCGGTATCATCTCACCTGTCCTTGGTTCACAATACAACTGATAATAAATACTATATTACAAATAAAGACACTGAAACAGATGGAGATTAACTTCAGTTTATAAATAAACAATTTGAAATGGGAATGCATGCTGGTAAGACGTGTGTGTTTCATGTGGTCATCAACCATAACGAAAAGCTGTAAGCAGGGAGTTACATTTTAGTGCTTACTGCGTGTTTGTAGTCCACTGTATGATGAGGTTATACTGACATTGACTCATATGAATATGTTTATCTCCTATAAGTCATTTTATGTTCATTAACCTGCATTATAGAATTCAACTTTGCTTATCAAACACTCTACTCAGTCTTCTCTCCAAACATTGTTGTCAATGAGTCATCACAGTGTAACAACACAGCACGGTGCAGCGCGCACATGCCGACAGACACCACGGCTCTCTGGTTACTTTGTCTCTATATCTGCGTTCTATTATACACACCTACAACGAGGAAGGGAGGAAGGATGGTAGATGTGTTTCTTTTACTTAAAATGCACAACCAGATGAGCCCTTAACCGACTGCAACAACACACCACTTCCTGTGTTGACGCGAGGCGAGTTTTGGCGCTGCATCCACGGCGAGCATCATGTTGTTTAACTAGACAAGCAAAAACACAAATACTGCCATAAAGCCAGAGGCCATCACTCTCACGTCCTCATTGTGGCATAATAAAAGGTCTTACCCGTCCTCCGGGTGACAAGCCGCTCCGCAGCTCGCCATCTCCGCCACCATCCTCTCTGTAACCAAACCCCGTTATACTTTCTGTTGTGCCAGTGTGCAGCGCCTGCGCGTAAAAGCACCTGAGGGGTAATAAGATCCTATCATCAGCTATCGGGGTCTCCTTAAAGCCCTAAGCAGGCGCCAAAATGGTCCTCAGAGCTCTCTTCTTCACATCGCTTCTTCATAAAAACAAAACATCCGGATTCAAAGGCATAGTTTCCACAGTACAAACAGAAAACACTCCGCCAGCTTTTGTTTGCAGCTTGCATGCGACTGTATTGTTTCCTTTCACAAATAGCCTACTGTGTGTGCTCGTGTGCAAGATACAAACACATCGCAGATCTTAACATCAGACTGTTAAATACTGCACACCTCCACATACCGAGCACAGCTTTGAGGATCGGCGGTGTGCGCAGTTGTTGCGCAAGAAAAAACAGCAGTGAACGACACGTGGGCGGGTGCAGTGTCCCGCCTCCAACTGGGGGTTTTTACAGTCACGCTAATGGTTAACTGCTCGATTTCTCACGCGTATTCCTTTAAATATAGGAGATGGCCAGAATACAATAGAAAGGCAGTGATAAGAAGCTGTTTGAAGTTGCACACACACGGCAGAAATCAGCCTCGTGTCTGGCCCTATTGTTTGTTTGGAGTGATAACAAAGAGCAAAGTGTCACATATGAACATTTTAGACATTTAACGCTTCTACACAATGCACAGCACGGTCGCCTTTTTGCATACACTCAAAGGCTTATCCTAAAAGTAACTATTTCCAATATAGAGACAATAGGAAATGAGCTGGTGAGCAAGCAAATCGGTTCATTTGTTCGTTTCGAGTTCAAAATAAGGTGCCTGCATTAACCTGAGAGATTTTCATCAGTAGCGTATTTTTTTTCCCAAACCAAAAGGCACAGCCAAGAGCACCCCACGGTGCAACTAGGTCATTTTGAGCGGGAAACCATGGAGATCAGTTCACCAGGCTGCACTAAGGCAAGATGCCACCAGGTGTCACATCAGACAACAAAAAGTATCTTTCAAGTCAGCAGAACCGACCCTCTGCGAAATATTCTTGCATGTAAAGGTACATTCAAATCAGATTCATGTATTTCACGCGAGGACTGATCAGTGTCATTATACTATACTGTTGAAATAGAATGCTTAAGGAATTAATATAACCCAGTATCCATCTAGTGTGTAAGCACAGTGTCTATCAGAGTGAGAAAAAAGGGAGGGCAGGCTCTCTGTGAGCCTGAGACGTCCAGAGGGAGGAGAGAGTGAAGGAACAAGGGCTTTTTTTATTGATCTTGCTCTCACTGATCTTTTCCCTTTCTCCTCTCTCCATCCACCTGTCCAACTTTTACAGCTGGATATGTAGTTTACAGCAGAGAGGAGAGAGAGAAAGAGAGAGATCTTATCCAAGTCTCAGAGTCTAAAGGGAGAGATCAGCTCCTTGATGCAGGAGACAGCACAGCATCAGACTCAGTGCTGAAATGATACCCCCAGTACCTCAGGAAACGAGAGGAGATAAAGCGAGACTCCCTGAGACAAGGACAGGGAAGGTTGGGAGGAAAGAAGAAGGTGGAATACAGGGAGAAGAAGTGAGAATAAAGATTAGGAGACATGGAAAGGGAGAGGGAGAAGAAAAGGAGTCATTTAAGTCACTGAAAATATGACATTTTTAGAGCTTGACACTTGAAACCTGGAATCACTTTGGACTTGAGTTGCAGAAACAGAGGTCTTGTGGCTCATCTTAGACTCATCTGTCGTGAGACTTGACTGTAGGCTTGAAATCAGCTCAATAAATATTTAACAAGACCAGAGTGTACAGCCAGGCTGCAGCTTTGTGAGGCTCTACTTACTGGAGACACATCAGTGCTTTGAGCTAAACGCTCAAGGTCACCATATTGGAAAAATGAAACTTTTGACCTGATGATGGCGCTAGAGGAAAAGTCTGGGGATCACCAAAGTTATGTTTGAAAGAAAACATAAATGTCTCAACAAAATTTCATGGCAATGCATTTGACAGCTATTATGACGTTTTACTCAAAAGTACAAACATGAACACTGTCATGGCACTACAGGAAAAGTCAGAGGATAATCAGAGTCATTAGGATTCATGCTCTGGGAACCATGAATGAAACCTATTGTATGCCAGAGTACTAGGTGTTGAGCTATTCCAATAGAGAAGTTGACCAGGTGGCGGTGCCACAGGAAACATTAGAGGATTGTCCAACTAAAGAAAGAAGCATTTGTTGTGATATTGACTATTGTTCTATTGTTTTGTCTATTAAATAATGAAGTGTTGAGTCTTGGCTTGGGCTTGATTCAAATTATATATATATTTCATAAAAAGCTGAGCTGAGATATATTCCTAAAATCATTTTTTGGAAAAGGTATTTTATGAAAAGAAACAACCGACATTTTGTCTGCTGTGACTCAGTTACCACAGTCTTTCAGTGTGTGTTTGCATGTGGTGTGTGTGTGTGTGTGTGTGTGTGTGTGTGTGTGTGTTTGTGTGTGTGTGTGTTATGACAGAGATTTTTTTTTTACAGATTGACCAACCTGTTTGGAAACAATGATATCACACACCCTAGAGGGTTAATATGAGCCCTCACTGTGCAGACTCATTATCCATCACATAGACACACACTCAAAATAGCTTACACATTAACACTACATGTAAAGTATACTCAGTCAGGGAAGTAAGTAGAAAACCCACACCTAAGTGCTCAGAAGTTCCCTTTATCGCATACATGTAGCCATATGCACACAGATTTCCAGTTTCAGTGGGCCGTTTTGCTAGCTGGACCAAGTTATCACTAGCAAGATCCATTGTATCAAAAGAGCCCTGCCTGCTGCAGCCCTGCATAAAGAAGCTGGAGCAAGGTGAACGGGGACAGAGGAAATGGGAGGAAGGCTCTGGAGATTGTCCAGCCATGAGAGATTTCAGATTAGTCCTATACAACAGAATAATGTATAATGCATGGGTCTGGGAGTTGGCAGTTGTCAAAAAGTCTGTCCTGGGCAATCAATGGGATATGAAAGTATAAAGGCACAGAACTGTAAGTGTTGTTGTATTCTGCATAGGAATCTACAGCCATGCTAGTGGCTCTGTACTTATTACTTAGCAAAACTGTGCTTTGGGCTAAATGCTACCTTTAGCATGCTAATATGCTAAAAATGGCAGCATGTTTTTATTCAGTGGTTATAATGTTTAGTGTATTAGCATGCTAACACTTGCTAATTAGCTCTGTAGAGTACAGCTGAGACTGATGGGAATGTCATTAGTTTTGCCTATTGGTCATAATGTTGGCCACAAAAACCTTTGACCTGATGATGGTGCTAGATTAAAATTTACTGGCTCACCAAATGTAATACAAATCATTCTCAAGGATGACAGGAAAGTCTAAACCAAACTTCAAAGCAATCCATTCAATAGTTGTTCAGATACTTCACATAAAACCTTAAATGTTAATCTCATGGCGATAGTATCACATCACAAGTTTAGCTACATTTATGTTAGGCTATACAGAATTTTACACATATACTGTACATGTAATTTCTATATTTGATATTTTTGGAAATCTAGCATCTTGATAATAACTTAAAGCAGTCTCATTTGTAGTGACAGCCCTCCCAAAGAATCACTGGAGTTAGAGAAGCCTTACTGTCCAATACAATGGTACAGGTTCTTTGTGAAAGATATCAGAGTTTGTACCAAAAACGACTTTAAACAAGTTTTGTCATGTGTCTAAACTGTGTGTTTTTTAAGTAGATAGGCACATCTTTCCTTGATGTTGTTAGTGTTTAGAATTGCCACCTACACAGTTCTGCTAAGGCCTTGGGACTCTTTCAAACCCTCTTTTTTCACCAGAGGGGACTGGCTTTAATTGTTGTGCATTTTCACATATTAATAGATTTCCTGTCTCTAGGCATCCATAAAATTGGATGGCTGGATGGAGGCCATGATTTAGGCAATAAGCGGGAAAAAGAGAGGCTAGTGTCTCCACGGTCCCTGGGGAACTTGGATGGAAGTTTCTGAGTTGACTCTCTTCTTCCATCTTCCCTTCACATTAGTTTACATCCTCCAATGTCTCACACAAGCCCTCCACTTATTGCTCTACTGTATATTATACTAAGCTTGTCAGTGTTTCTGAATAATGTGTGTTGTGTTGTGGCCTCTTGCTCTTTATATCCTTCCAGTTTTTTCTCCGTGTTGTTGATTCCTTATTTTGGAGCCTTTAGGGGACTCTGTGTATTCAGGAGCAACAGAGTCCTGGGATGTAATGTGGGTGTTTGGTAGAAGCAACAAGACTGAACACAATAGTCTAGTCACCTTCTGAAACATAGACCCCCACACCCCCAGTACTACTGTGAGTCAGCACAACAGTGCAGAGGCCGGGGTCAAAAATCCCCCGCCCTCCGCCTCCACTCAAAGCATGTGGGAATGGGAAAACTTTATCCTATATTTAACCTCCAGGTGTCTGTCTGGTGTGAATGTATGTGTGTGTGTGAGACCCAGGAACTGAGTCATCTGCAGCTGGTTGTTGGTAGACAGGTTATCTTAGGGGAAAAAATGAGGTTGTCCTTGCTCTTTGGGTTAGCTAGGGGCTTTTAGCACACTAGCAAAAGCGACGTCTTCCCTCTGATACACCACACTCACCTCCCTCCGATGAAAACTTTCCTCATTCAATCTGTTTTAGGTTAGTGTGTATACTGTGGATCTGTGTGAAATGCAGAGAATTAAAAATTGATTTTACAAAAAGCAAAGTTAAAGGCTGACTATGTACAATTACAGTGAGACACCGTGAGGACATCCTTATACTCTATCAGCCAGAAAACAACACAGTTTAGTGCAACAGGAAATAACCTCACCCCTGTAAAGAGCAAAATGCACTTTCTAAATTAATACTTAATTGATACATAATTTTTCACTGTGGTATCCTGGGTGTTTATGTCTGTGGCAGTAGTCCCAAAAGATAAAGAGACAGTGGTTGATATATGTCTACTTAAATCTTTCCTGGCAACATGATGTTCCCATTTGAACAGAAAGCAGCGATGCTGAGTCAAATCACTTAGTGCTATTACCTGTCAAACCTGTCTAAATGATAGCAGTGAATTATGGTGTAAGATCATCAAAAGGGCAACCTTGTAGGGTTATTCACCGTAAAGTCAGAAAGCCCAGCTCAGCACAAATCTCCCAACTCATCAGATTTATTAAGAGGGCTGAGAGCAATTCCCCTGAGACAGAGAAAGGATTTCTTCTGCTGAGGATTATTTTTTTTGCCCTCCGAGACAACTCACTGATTCATCTCAAAACCACATATAGGTAAAATGCACACAATTTCTCTCAAACATGCTGTATTTGCTAGAAGTGACCACAA